GTGTCTGTTTGCAAGATCGTGTCATATCCAGAGTTGATGTATTTGTAGATAATCTGAGAGTGGGTGGTTAGAGTGCAGGGCCATAAACCAGGAAAGGGAAGGGCGCCAGGGAGTACTTAGGTTAGGAAGGATGCTGGCATGTGCAGGAAAAACTGATCTCAGTATCTAGCTGATAAGCCAGTGGGAGGAGGCTGGTTGGTCTCCCCAGCAACAGGCCTGGCAATCCTAATTGGCTGCCAGCTGCCATGGAAACAACAGGGCCTCAGCAGCAGGTGCCTCTGCCAGGTAGCTTGAGCCTGGCTTGATGCCTCAACACAGACTGGGTCTGTTGCCTAGGTCTTGATCATTCATACCCTCCATACTCAGAAACAGGCCCTAGTTAGGACTCCAGTTTCTTGGCTGCCAGAACTCAATGCAACCCATTGCTGAGATCCCCTGAGCCCCAGGAGAGGGCTCATCACATAAGTCTGAAAGTCCTAAGACAGAAAAACAGGGTTATCAGATCCCATTCCCCACCACCTCCAATCCCCAGCCCCCCGCCGCCCCCAACACACACACACACACACACACACCCCTACCCAAACAAGCTCTAAAGGTCTTTGACCCACCAGCTTTGAGGGGAGGAGGCTGACCCTAACCTGCCAAGTGCCTAAACAAGAAATGAACCTAAGGCTACGGTGGAAACCACCACTGTTCTTCCTACCCTATACTCAGGCTGCCTTTTGTAGGCCAGATAAAACAGGCCTGTGGCAGAGGGAAGCCTGGGTCTTCATGCATTCAAGCCTGTGGCAAATAGCTCTGCCCCTTTGTGCCCCAACTTCAGTGAAGATTAGAGACTACAGAACTGAGTTAATGGTTACAGAAACCTACGAACAGGGTAGGATGAGAGGGAAGACGCCTCAGCTGTCAGAGGGAGAACTGGGAGACAACAGTGAGGGAAGGACTGACGATGCCTCTAGTTTTACTGGACCTGAGGAGCAAGGCAGAATGGGATGGGGGGGTGTGGCGGGAAGACCAAGCGCTTACCCAGAGGCACTCCACAATGGTGAGGAGGCATGCCTGTTAGCAGGGTGAGGGCTCCGTGAGCAGAAATGGGAGGGAGGATCTTTATTCCATTCAGTTCCAGAGCTCAGAAGAAGTAGGGGAGGGACAATGTGGTGACAGAGGCTAAAGAAAAGCAAGATAAGAAATTCTCCTGTCTCGAAGTCTGCAGTGGAACAGGCAGGAGTAAATAAGGGCCAGCAGGGGCCGGGGGAAGGAGGCGAAGTTCCTAGCAAGGAGACGAGGGTGGCCGAGGCCGGGGGTGGAGAAACTGATAGGGTGGATGTCCAGGGAAATGCCCGGGAGCCCACAGAGTGCTGAGTGCCCCAGGGAGCGTGACAAGAGTTGCTAGCAACTGGGGGCCCCAACAGCAAAGAGGACAGGCAGGCGAGCTGGTAGCACCCAGCAGGTGTGACTGCAGAGAGAAGTGCTAAGAGAGTGCAGTCTCATTTGTCACAGGGAACAGGGCAGGAATAAGGTTGAGGGCCAGGCCCTGCAGCTGGGAGGAGGGAAGTGTTACTACAGGCCGTAATAGTGGAAGGGCGTGAGAGGAGCAGGAGGGTGTGAGGAAGTCGGCATAGCCCAGGTCTGCGAGACGGAACCAAAGGCACGCAGCCCTGCTAGACGGGACATGGTTGTGCCCACCAGAGAAAGGGCAGCAACCGGCACTGTGAGCAAGGATGAGGACTCCATGTTGGGATCATGCTTGGGATCATGGGGTGTGGTGAGACATGGGCTTCAGCCATCTGATTTGGGGGCCTGATCTGCTAAGTCCCTGTCCCTGGAACCCAACAGGGCAGCGGATGCCCTTCTCAAGGCTGTGGCGGCCAGCAGCGTCGCGGAGAAGGCTGTGGAGGCAGCACGGATGGCCAAACTGATAGCCCAGGACCTGCAACCCATGTTAGAGGCCCCAGGTGAGAGGGGGTTGCAACTAGGGTGGGTGGATAGGAAAGGACTGGATGACTCGGGAGTTGGGGAATCCCTGCAGGGGGCTGGAGAGTGGGAAAAGCAAGAGTAGGAGGGCTCAAGGGGATGGAGGGTGGGAAGAGACTGGAAATGTATGAAGTAGGGTCATGGTCATAAGGACTAGGGGGTTGGAGCTTTGCCATAAGAGGCAATAAGCCTGGGGAGACCAAAGTCATAGGAGGTGCCAGGTGGGGATGAAGCTGTGGCTTTGGCAGCCCAACACCAGTTGGGTCCCTCTAATCCTCGGTTATCCCTGCCCCAGGCCGCAGACCCAGGCAGGACTCAGAAGGTTCTGACACAGAGCCCTTGGATGAGGACAGCCCTGGGGTGTACGAGAATGGACTGACCCCCTCAGAGGGCTCCCCTGAACTGCCCAGCAGTCCTGCCTCCTCCCGCCAACCCTGGCGACCGCCCACGTGCCGGAACCCACTGCCTCCTGGAGGGGACCGGGGTCCCTTCTCCAGCCCCAAAGCTTGGCCTGAGGAGTGGGGGGGGCCAGGTGAGCAGGCAGAGGAACTAGCTGGCTATGAGGCCGAGGATGAGGCCGGGATGCAGGGGCCAGGGGCCAGAGATGGTTCCCCACTTCTTGGAGGCTGCAGTGACAGTTCTGGAAGTCTTCGAGAGGAGGAGGGGGAAGATGAAGAGCCTCTGCCCCCACTGAGGGGCCTAGGAGGCTCAGAGTCTGAGCCCCTGGCCACGCCAGTCCTGCGGGGCCTGTCCTCCAGGGGTCCTGAAGCCAGGTGTCTGACGGAAGAGCTTGAGGAGCCCGCTGCAACCGAGAGGCCTGCCCAGCCGGTGAGACACCCTCCGTCCCCACTCTGTGCGTCTGAGGCTCAGCTCCTTTCTGGCCCCTCTCCTCAAAGCCTAGCCTCTCATCCTTTCCAGACCTCTGATCCCCTGATGGGCTTTGATTTACACGCAGCTTCCTCTCTGCCTTCCCAGTTCTTGGACCAAATCCCACTTCAAAAAAAGAGAACTTGGAGCTAGAAGAAACCTTTAGAGACCTTCATGTCCAGCTCCCTCATCTGACAGATGGGGGAACTGAGACCTAGAGCCTAAAGTAATTTTCCCCAAGGTTACAAACTAATAATTAACAGTAGGGCCTGAACATCTTTCTCTGTTCTTCCATATCATTTCCAGCTCCCAGTTTCCTACTCCACCCCCACCCCAACCTCCACACTTTCTCTCTTTGGTGCCCAGAAATAAAAAAGGAAAAGCTTGTTCCCTCCCTACCCCGACTCTCCCTCCCTCTCCTGGGAAGAAGGGAAGTAGGAAAGAAGGCAGAAAACCAAGAGGGGTGGAGCTTCCCCAGAGCCCTCCGCTCTGATTGGACACCCGGCTTTCTCCAGTCTCCTAGCAACCACATCCTCTCCCCTTCATCCCTCTCTGCTTTACTGCAGTACCGACTGCTGCTGCCAATGTCTGCTACTAAGGCCAAGGCACCTTCTGCCTGGGCCACGTGATGTGCAGGTGGGCGGGAGGTGGAGGGAGGTGGAGGGAGGAAGGCGGAAGGGCTGTCCCTGACTTGCTGGAGCCAGAGGGAAGGTGCGGCCCTGCTGGGAGAAGAGAGGTGTTTTGTAATCCACAACCGAGGTTGGCAGTCCCCCATACTCTGGCCTCTGAAAGAGGTACCTGGGACTCTATTAACTTTGCCACTTCAGCCAGCACAGGATGAGGAGGATGTAGGAGCTGCTCAGGGGCTGAGCCTGCATTTCCCCCTGTCTCTCTAGGGAGCTGCCAACCCCCTGGTGGTGGGAGCCGTGGCCCTCCTGGACCTCAGCCTGGCGTTCCTGTTCTCCCAGCTCCTCACCTGAGGCTCCTCCTTGGCCTCCTTCTGGCTTCGGTTGCTGCCTCTTGGCACCTCTGGCCTGCCTTTTTCTCTTTTCCTCCTCCTGGTCGTTTTTTCTCCTTTCTTTCTCTCTTTCCTTGCCTTTCTTCTTTGTCTTCTTTGTTTTGTCTCTTGCTTTTTCTTTACCCTCTCCTTTCAGATTCTCTCACTTATTCTAGACCTGTCTCTGTCTTCCTCAGTCCCTACCCACCCCTCCCTTCTCTTTCTCTAGATTGTTTACATATGAAGGGCTTTTCTTGCTCAGAGTTGCTCTCTGAGACATACAAATCTAAGTCAGACCATTGCCCTCTGCCCTCCCGCCTTTTCTTTAGACCTGAACTTTGATGAGGGTGGGGGTTTGGTGTCCTGAGGAGTCTCCCGGAATTGTAATGGAAAGGAGGAAGAAAATGGAGAAGGGGTGACTGAATATTAGGCAAGGTACTGACTGCTACAGCTCCTTGTCCCAAGGGGCCTAGTGTCCCTTGCAGGCCTAGTGGAAAAACTGGAGGAGGTACAGCCCCCGTCTCTGACCCTGGTGGACCCTAGGTCACTCCAAGCACCGAGCTAGACTTATGTCTAACTAGACCCTTCCTGAAGGGGATAAGGGAAAGGAAAAAAAAGACTCCCTACCATCTCCCTCTTTCTTTCCTCCACAGCCAGCCCCTCCTCCAACCCACTGGGTGGCATGCCATGACAAAGCAATGTATAAAGGAAAGAAAATGTCCAGTGCCGCCAAATCCACCCACTGATCTCTCCCACCCTTCTCTCTCCCCTAAAAGTTTATTTGGTTGGTCTGGACTCACTTGTGGCCTTTGATTAAATTTCTACGGGGCCTGAAGAAGACATTTCTACTGCAGAGGGATAGAGGCACTTAGCAAGGACGCCACTCCCCAACTTTGGCAGTTATGGCCAAGGGGAGGCAGTTCTGGGGAACGGAACCAGATAAGAAAACAGGAACTCACAGGGCAGCAGGAGTTTAGCTATCTCAAAGTGGGTTATTTCCCTTCCCCCATCACCTCAGAATCTTGTGAGATGGGAAAAACCACAGAAGGAGGGGATCAAAAAAAGCCAATGCTCACAGCTTTCCAGGCAGGGCAGAGGTGGAGGCCGGACAGGGGTGGAGGTGAGCCCTGTTTGAGGTGGTGGCTGACCCCTGGTACTAGCTTTTTCCCTGGGGGCAGGAAGCCCTAGGAAGAGGGGTCCATAGGGTCCCTGGGGGATCTTTCCTCCCTCCCCTGCATGAGGCAGAGGCAAACTGCCTGCCAACCCCCTCCCTCAAGGAATGGCCTTGCCTGGGAATGCCCACCACACACACCCTCTTCTTTTTTTCTAGTCAAACTCTGTTTACTCCTTGGCCTGCCTTTCTCCTTCCTCCCCTCTCAACCTTTACTTCTGATTTGTATTTCATGGAATTTGGGATTGAAGTTCAATTACAACAGTGCCGACAACACCAAGTCTTGCAGGAAAAAAAAATATAAAGAAATTTAACAAAAAAAAAATATATTAATAAAAAAGTTCAAAAAAGGGGGGGGAATTGTCATGTCCTTTGGGATGCGGTGGCTTCGAATCCCAGCTGAGGCTCTCCGGGCGATGAGAAGCACTGTGCGAGGGGCCTCCCGGGGTACCCCAGTCCTCTTTCGCAGTCTCGCCCACCGTCCCTTCGCGGAGAGACGCTCCTTCCCCTGAAGGCCAAAGCCCGAGGCCAGAGGTCGGGGAACCCAGACAGCGCGGCAGGGCGCTCGGCAGGGGCGGGTCCCGCGATGGGGGCGGGGAGAGGGACGGCCGCGGCCGAGCACCAACCCCCGCGCTGCCCCGTACCAGGAAGTGCTGGGGGGAGAGGAGCGGAGTGAGAAGCAGGTGAGGCTGGCGTTAGGGCCGGCGTCCAGAGGAGGGGGCGAAGGCCGCCTGACACGCGAACGGGGGGAGGAAAGCTGCGGGAGCGCTAAGCCCGGGCCGGGAAAAGGAGGCAATGGCAGAGCTAGGGATGGGGGACCAGGTGGGGCGACGTTGTGGGGGTGGGGAGAGAAATAGGCGGGGCTCCGGCGCATGCGCAGTAGGGAAGGGCGCGGCGTGGGGCTGGGCGCCTGCGCAGTGGGGCATCTCCGTGGGCGCGGAAGGGGAGCGGCGTTGGTAGACCACGTGGAGAAAGGTCGAAATGCACTGTGTTCGTGTAGCTGTGAGAGCCGGACTCAGGAGAACTTGGCACAGAGCAAGCCTGGGAAGAAAGGCCAGGTGCTTAAGGTCAGAGGTCTAAAGCCCTCTAACCCCCAGGATGGTGGTGACTTCTCTGAAGCTTCAAGATCTAATTGAGGAGATTCGTGGGGCCAAGACCCAGGCCCAGGAGCGGGAGGTGATCCAAAAGGAGTGTGCCCATATCCGGGCCTCCTTCCGTGATGGGGACCCTCTGCACAGGCACCGCCAGCTAGCCAAGCTGCTCTACGTCCACATGTTGGGCTACCCCGCCCACTTTGGACAGGTACTGGGCTGGGACTACTCCCTTCTGAGTTTGATGAGGAGAGTTCGTGGGGTCTGGGGCTTGGAAACAAACATAATTTGTGCCCGGTATGTTCATTCTACAATGTTTGCGAGCCTTCACAGCATACACCACAGACCACCAATACAACACCCATTCGTCATCAGCTGGACTGAACCCATCATTCTCTGGCCAGACACCTCTCCTCTCCTCTTCTCTCCTCTTCCTCTCGACTCCTAGTTCCTTGAAGCTACCCAGTAGCTCTCATCTCTTCATGGGATGTGACATCGCACAGGTTAACCTGGTGTTAAGGAAGATGAGAGAAAAGGGGGTGTTAGTGCCTCTGGTTTCATTCCTGCCCCTTCCTGGTCTGCCCCCTTCCCTGTAGATGGAGTGCCTGAAACTGATCGCCTCCCCCCGATTCACAGACAAGCGGGTGGGCTACCTGGGGGCCATGCTTCTACTGGATGAGAGGCAGGATGCCCACCTGCTCATTACCAACAGCATCAAAAAGTGAGAGGGCTCTGGGAAGCACTCAGAATCAGGGAGATGGGAGAGTGGGAAACTGGAAAATTCTAGAGGGCTGCCCGCTGGAGGTACTAGGCAAGACTGGATCTCTCAGTCTTGACCAGCCATCCTCCCAACTCTGCAGTGACCTGAGCCAGGGGATTCCAGCAGTACAAGGCTTGGCCCTGTGTACTCTGAGCTCCATGGGCTCTACAGAAATGTGCCGAGACTTGGCCGCCGAGGTAGAGAAACTGCTCCTACAGCCCAGTCCCTATGTGCGCAAGAAGGTGAGCTGTCAGGGCGCTAGGCACTTGGGAAGGGTCTCATCCTGCAGACCCTGTTCTGCTCTGAGTGCCCGATCTCTGCAGGCTGTTCTGACTGCAGTGCATATGATCCGGAAAGTCCCTGAGCTTGCCAACATCTTCCTCCCACACTGTGCCCAGCTGCTTCATGAACGTCACCATGGTAAGGCCACAGCCCTCCTCAGCTCTGTGGACAAGTTTTAAAAAAAAAAGGTGGGGGGACTAGAAAACACCAGCTCATCAGAGAAGGGCAGTGAGTGCACACAAAGTCACACACACACTTCTGTGCCCCTGCTGCCATTCACTTCCCCTACCCTGACCCCAGGCATCCTGCTGGGCACCATCACGCTGATCACCGAACTCTGTGAACGAAGCCCTGCAGCCCTCAAGCACTGTCGAAAGGTGGGCTGGTGATGGGCATGTCCTCGGCCAGGAAAAGTGGGGAAGTGGGATTGGAACAGGGCCATAGGTTGTGAAATTGGGAAGAACGTCCCAGATAAGGCTGTGCCCTCCCTCCAGATGGTTCCCAAGTTGGTGCAGATCCTCCGGACTCTGGTGACCACAGGATACTCGGCAGAACACAGCATATCTGGAGTCAGTGACCCTTTCCTGCAGGTGGGCCTCCAGTTCCCTGCTATGTGCCTGGAACAGAGAGTTTAGTAGTAAGCCTGTGGCCAGTGGTCATCTTCCCCCCAGACACTGCTCAGTCAGTGTCTTGAGCAGGAGAGTGGCATGTACAGGACTGCCCAGGTGATCTCAGGAGAGTACAGGGAAGGGGATACCTGAAGATCAGAAAATCAAGCTTGGAGACAGCAAAATCCTGTCCCCCAAACCCCAACTCTGCATACTTCTGATCCTCTCCCAGGACCCAAGGGACCAGGGGACAGGAAAGTTTTCTGGAAGCAGGCAGACCTGTCACAATGCTCTTGCAAGGGATTTTTTTCAACCTGTGACTCCTTACCCTCTAAACCCCTTCAACTTTTAACCCATCCTCAGGTCCAGATACTTCGTCTGCTTCGGATTCTGGGCCGGAACCACGAGGAAAACAGTGAGACCATGAATGACCTGCTGGCCCAGGTGGGGGTTGGGAGGGGGCACTGGCTAGGTGCTACTGTGATCCCACAAGACAATCCCTCACAAGACCACTCGTGGTATAACCACATCTAATCCCTAGTCACATACACGTGTCCTCTAGACTGATCTCCACAAGGACAGAGACATGATCTGTGTCAGCATTGTGGCCCTCGGAGCACATAGCAGGGTGGGGGGCTCAGGGAGCTCTGGTTGATGGTTGAGACATGGCAACATGGAGGAACTTCCAGAGACCTAAGGGACAGGCAGAGCCCCATATAAATGCACCTTCTCTCCATCCACTCAGGTGGCCACCAACACAGACACCAGCAGAAATGCAGGTAACGCAGTCTTGTTTGAGACGGTGCTCACCATCATGGACATCCACTCTGCTGCTGGCCTTCGGGTATCACCCACATGCCTCTCCTACTGCCCCCACCAACCCCATCCAGAGTGGCCCTGTACCCTGGTCTCACCCTGTGTTGTGCTGTACACTGCCCACAGCTGCATGAACAGGTAGCTCCTGCCCTGACTTCCCCAATGTCTGTTTCCCACAGGTTCTAGCTGTCAACATTCTTGGCCGTTTCCTGCTCAACAATGACAAGAACATTAGGTAACAGTCCCAGGTGTTTGGCTGGGCTGTGCCACTGAGCCCCAGGCCCTCTGCGCTCCTTCCAGGGTCTCCTGATCCATCTGCCAGGGCAGGACAAGGCAGGGAGGGCCAATGGCTGTGGATGATAGTGCCTCTCCGCTCTGCCAGGTACGTGGCACTGACATCGTTGCTGCGACTGGTGCAGTCTGATCACAGTGCTGTGCAGCGGCACCGGCCCACTGTGGTAGAATGTCTGCAGGAATCTGATGCCTCCCTCAGCCGGTGAGTGCCACAGAAGAACACGAGGGCAGGGCAGAGCGTCCGGCACCTGGTGGCCAAGACCCAGACCAGCTTGGGGCAGCTGGAGTGTAGAGACAGGAGACAGGCATCTGGGGAAGGGAAGGGCTAGAACTGGGCCACCTCGCACACAAACAATTCTCCTGCCAGGCGGGCCCTGGAACTGAGCCTGGCTCTGGTGAACAGCTCCAACGTGCGGGCCATGATGAAAGAGCTGCAGGCCTTTCTGGAGACCTGTGCCCCCGAGCTCCGGGCAGACTGTGCCTCAGGCATCCTGCTGGCTGCAGAGAGGTGAGGTGACAGGTGCCTCAGAGACACGGAGGATGGAATCCAGGGAGGGCAGCACCAGGACTATGAGCCAAATGTCTCCTAGGTTTGCCCCAAACAAGCGCTGGCACATAGATACCATCTTGCACGTGCTGACAATGGTGAGGTGGGGCTGGGCTGAGAGCTGGGCAGGAGAGGGTTGGGGTCATCCACGCACTAGCCACATTCACTCCTTTCAGGCAGGCACCCATGTACGAGATGACGCGGTGGCCAACCTGACACAGCTGATTGGAGGCGCCCAGGAGCTGCATGCCTACTCTGTGTGCCGCCTCTACAGTGCCCTGGCAGAGGACATCTCCCAAGTACTGTTCCCATCACCTTCCCAGACCACTGCACCCTATACCAGGTTCCCAGCTCTCGAAGTCAGTTCTTTGGTGGGAGACACTCAAAGACAGAGGCCCGTCTCAAAGTTAGAGCACCTGGACTTCTGTCCTGCCTCTAGCACCTACTGGCAGTGTAACCACAGATGACTGACTGCACTTGAAATTCAGTGTACTCAGCTTTTTGCCCTGTCTGCCTCCCAAGCTCTGTTAGTATCAAATTAGATACAAAGCTCTTCTTGCTATGTTGGGTTTTACTATTGCCTTGAATGCTGAGTGAGTTAGTAGGGGCCAGCCAGCATCTGTAGCCCCCTTTTCATATTAGTGAATGGGGTGGGCAGAAACCATCACCTCCTGGCTCCAAGGGAAGGCCTTGCTCACTGTTCTATCCATGTAGTTCTGGCGCTTGGCCACCAGAGGGCAGAGGAAGCCCAGGAGACAGGGCTGAGCCAGGTCAACAACTGACCTGTCTGATCCCCAGCCCAGGTCCTCCTCTTTCCTTCTAAGCCCCAGGGTCTCTGCACAGCCTGAAGGCACGTTGCTAGGAGCCTGGAAGAGAAGAGGGGACCCAGATCTGGCCCATCCTCCTCTTACGTGTTTCTTACTCCACATAGCAACCACTGGTCCAAGTGGCAGCCTGGTGCATCGGAGAATATGGGGACCTCCTACTGGAGGGGAGCTGTGAAGAAACTGAACCCCTTCAGGTGAGACCTACATTAGGGTTCAGGGGAGGTCAGGCTGGCTCCACATTCACCACTTGTATTCCCCCCTGCAGGTGGGAGAGGAGGAGGTGTTGGGACTGCTGGAAAAGGTGCTCCAGTCCCATATGTCCCTGCCAGCCACCCGAGGATACGCCCTCACAGCCCTCATGAAGCTCAGCACCCGGTTTCATGGGGACAACAAGTAAGAAAGGTTCCCCATCTCTCCAAGACCCTTCTTTGGTGCCTTCAGTGAGAGCTGTCTCTTCACTGTGCCCACCAGTCTCTTTCTCTCCGGGCACACACCCAGTCCCGCTAATCCTTAGGTTCTTCCTGTCTGCCAAGTATCATGGGCCTCTCTGCTCTGGGGGGCCTCTCCCTTCCCTGCTGAGTCCTGGAGTAAAAGGGCAAGGCAGGCTGCCATTCCAAATCACTAAGTGCCCTGTGGCCCAGCCGCATCCGCCAGGTGGTGTCCATCTACGGGAGCTGCCTGGACGTGGAGCTACAGCAGCGGGCCGTGGAGTATAACACACTGTTCCGGAAGTATGACCACATGAGGTAAGATGCGCACAGCTACCATCCAGACCCCTGTCCGCTCCCCAGGGCCTGCTCCATAACGCCCCTCTCCGGGTATAATGGCCTCGTTCTTATCCAGTCAGAACCTCCCACCCACAGTTCATTGAAACTGAGTTGGCTTCCATGCCGCTTTGCTCCTCTGAACACCAGCAACAGTGTGCCATCCCAGGAAATCAGAGGCCACTGTGGCCCCCCATGTGCCTGGGACCCTTGGCTCACCCTGCCAAACACACATGCCTCTTGTGAAAAATCCAGGGTCACCTCAGCGGCCTACACACATTCCATTCCCTCAGGGCTGCTATCCTAGAAAAGATGCCTCTTGTGGAACGGGGTGACCCTCAGGTTGATGAGGAAACAAAGGAAAGCAAAGAAGCAGCCCCACTTTCTGAAGTAGCCCCTATCCCCGCAGAGCCCCAGGTGAGGAGGCTGGGTGCCCAGGGGTGAAGACGACTTGGTCAGACTTTCACTCTCAGCCCTGACATTTCTGTTCTTTTCCCCAGGCCTCAAATCTCTTGGACCTGTTAGATCTTCTGGATGGCACTTCTGGGGAGACCCAGCATGTGCCACCTCTGATCCCTTCCCCAGGTGATGCCTTGGCACACCTCCTTGATCTTTCCTGTGCACCTCCACCCCCAGGTAGGCCTCACAAAGGGCGGGAGTACACCATGGTAGATGAGCTATTTCTTCTTAGTCAAAAACACAGGCTTCAGATACATTCGAACTTGCTTCCTGCCCTATCACTTCCCATCTTGGTAGGCTCAGTGGATCTTCCAGTTCCCGCCTCAGCACGCTTGGGTGCTTGCCCCGATTCAGACATCTTAACCTGGGCCTGCAGAGCCCTACCTCCTCCCAGTCTCCCACACTTGCCCACCAGGCCTTCCATTGGCCCCTTACAGCTCCTCTACCTCAATTCCTAGGCAATTTATGTTCTTTTTGCATAGAATGTTCTATGTACATTCTATGCAAAAAGAATGTACATAGAACATTCTATGCACATCAAACAACCAGTTTATTCTCACTCCTCAGGCCTCAGCTAAAATGTCAGATACCGGGGCCTCCCTCCCTGGTGGTGCAGGGTTTATTAAAGTCACAGCACTGTCAAGCTACCACAGCCATGAGTTCAATCCCTGGCCAGGGAGCTGACCCACATGCGCAGCAGACCTCTCCCTTCAGCAATGTCTTTTCAGTAGATCTGCCTATTTTGCTCCTCACTCTGGTGAGTCCTCTTGACCCCCATACCTCTGGCCTATACCCCAGATCTTTTATGCATAAAGAAATAATATTTTTTTTTTTTAAATCAGGTGCCTTTCCCTACCATTCCTATTTTTCCTCCAAATTACTCTGGCATAGTTTTTTTCGTAGCACCAACTACTCTGAGAATCATGCTTGTTTTCTTGTCTCTTCTCTTCCCCTACAAGACTTAAGCTTCAGTGAGGGTTTCGTCTTGTTCATTTTGCCACTACCATTTCAAGCAGTGCCCTGTACCCAGTGGGGGCTCACTTCATTTTTATCTCATAACTAAATGAAAGAACTCATCTTCAGCCTATATACTGACCTACTTCTCTCTTCCCACTCTAGCTCCCATCCCCAGTCTCAAAGTATTTGAGCGCGAAGGACTACAGCTGAATCTGTCTTTTGTGCGACCCCCTGGGACCCCTGACTTGCTCTTAATCACAATCACTGCTACCAATGCCTCAGGGGATGATGTCACCCACTTCATCTGCCAGGCTGCTGTACCCAAGGTTTGTAGAAGACCAGGATTCAAAGATGGCCTGGACACTTCCAGGAGAAGCAGCCACTAAGTACAGGAGATGGATGGAAATAGGCGAGGGCAGAGAAGCACTGAAAGAGTGACGCGCGGCGGCATGGAGGGGCTGCCTGAGCCCAGCTAGTGCCTGACTGCTCTGACCAACCTCCTCTATTCAGGGTTTACAGCTGCAGCTACAGGCCCCCAGTGGGGACACAGTTGCAGCTCAGAGTGGCCTTCCCATCACCCAGCTCCTCAGAATCCTCAACCCTAACAAGGTGAGCTTTGGGAGCCCACTGTGCATGAAGACCCAGGGCCAGGGAAGTCAGGGGTGCTAACTCTGGTCTCTGCTTTCCAATTCCTAGGCCCCCTTGCGGCTCAAGCTACGCCTCACTTACAACCACTTTGGCCAGTCCGTGCAGGAGATCTTTGAGGTGAACAACTTGCCTGTGGAGACCTGGCAGTAACCCCATCTGTATTCGCAGCCTGAAATCCTCCCCATCCCAAACCCTGGGGGCCCTAGCACGGGCCCACACCCCGGGGCTACCAGCAGGTGGCACTCTGGTACTGTGGATGCCACTGTAGAAACTCAGGGCCTGCCCGCAGCCCCAATAACGAAAACCCAATAAACCCTGAGGGGAAAGGCCGAATTTGGATATATTTGAGGGAGAGAAGTCTGAGTAACAGCAGGGGGGTGCGGTCTTACAGAGGAAGTGCATATCCTGAGCAGCAGGCACCTAGTCCAACAAAGGAGGGTTTTCTTTCTACCCCTCTCCAGGTTGGGGGAAAGCACACTACTGGCCCCTAAACTTTCACAAAAGGCACTTCTCCCTCTGGGACAAAGCAGGGCGCTTTGGCCAAATCAAACCAGAATTTCTAGGTCTCTAACAGGGATTCCCACCTATTTCCCCAGCCTGCTGCTATTCCCTACAGCCCAAGGCAGGGAAATCCCTGCTGCCTCCCCTCATCTCTAACTCAGCTGTAAGGCGGTTTAGGAGCCTCTGGCAGAATCAATGGCATCGACCAAGGGAGGGGGGGTGGCAAGGGATTTTCCTGTGCTTAACTACTGATCACGGCTAAGTGGAAATCCTATAAACACGAGCGGAAATCAATGGAGGCTGCTTAGCGGCCAGGGGAGAGGGGCGGCCCACAGATTGCATCTGACGGATGAGGGAGAGGAGGCAGCCAGGGAGGGCTCAACGAAGGATAGCTGAGGGTAGGTAAAGGAACAGGCAGAGCTGGAGAAGGAGTCACTGTGGGAAGGGAATCTGTGGAAGAGGCATAGCCCCCGGAATGAATCCCCTTAAACCCAGAGCTCTCTGCATCCAAGGAAGTGACACCCTAGTCCAGGCTATAGTCAGGATGCTTGGTACCCTAAGGCTTCTTCGCTCTGGAACTGTACACTTCTAGCAGACGCTGATAGTGCTGGGGCCGGAAGCGCTGGAGGTACATAATCAGCTTGGCAGGTGCCTTCTCCTGTGCTGGCACACCTGCAGGCAGAAAGAGAACAAGACAGAGCTCCACATGCTTTGCCTCTGCTGCCCGCCCACCCAGTCAGGACCCCAGAGTTGTTTCTGCTGCAGCACTGGGTTCTGAGTGCCGTCCAACCAGTGTCCATGTCCCACCAGCCCGCTTCCTTATTGGCCTTGAATGTGGGCCTGAAAAGGCCCTTCAGGCAGGAGTGGAGCCAGAAAGCCTGGCATGAGCCTTTCCTCCAGCAAGAGAAATGGTGGGGAAGTGCTGGGACTCCATGAAGATAGAGGGTGCTTCAGTAGTGACTTATTTCACTTAACTGCTCATGTTCCCCAAGCAAGATTAAAGCCCAAAGCCTAGCCAGGCCAGAGCTCATTAGCTTGGTAATGAAGTACATGCAGAGCCACACACAGAGATACCAGAGGATGCACGACAGAAGCAGCTACCACCATGAAATGGGATTCACACAGAATTCTCACCTCTTTGGTGGGGCACTATGTGTTGTCTTACTGTTAGGACTGGCAGCATGCTGGGCATAGAGCAGGGATCTGGGCATCTGTTTGCTGAGAGAGGAGCAGCATTCCAGGGCTGTAAAACCCCAGGGGATGCCCAACCCCATTCTTACATGTATGAACTGTCTGCAAGTGAGCTAAGCCTAGGAATAGGAAAATCTACCAATGCTTGCTCCACTGTCACATAAACACCACATTAATGCCTCCATTGAAAGCTAACAGAATAAATGAGGATCTAGGTGGTTATAAAAACAGGACTAACAGTGGAGAAAAGGAAGGACTGAAACAAAGAACTGACAAACAGAACTGAAGGAGACATGGCGTGGCTATAGATAGAACTAAAAGAATGACTTGTATAGAAGTCACTGTTATTTGGAAGACTTACGGATTAAATCCAGCTTAAACGGAAAGTATGAGAGGGGGGACTAAGTTTGACACACCCTAAGTAAGCCCGGTCCTCTAGAAAATTGCTCAAAGCATTGCAGAGACCCTCCCCCACTAACAGGGCCCAGTGGGTACATTCTGAAGAGGAAGGGGGAGGAAAGCAAAGAAGGGCTTGTCCTCCCTCACCAAGCATGCCGCTGAGCCTGTGGATCTTCTCTAAGGCGGCTGGCACTTCAGCCTCCCTGTGCACCAGGGCCTCCACCTCACCCACAGCGTAGCCAAAGTCGGCTGTATCCACGTCCACCTTGAGCGCTGGCTCCTCTTCATCAGCTCCAGGCAGCACCAACTTCCAGGCACTGCGCTTGGTCACAAAACTAGCTACTTCCTGCAGCCCCAGTGGACCCAGTACATCAGCCACACCTCCAGCTCCTAGGATCTCAGTCCCCAGCACCTCACAGAGCTGGGACACAATGGCAGGTTCTGCTGTGACTTCCACATACTCAGTGTGGGATCCCAAGGAACCCCCTGCTCCAGGACATTTGAACTCCCAACCACTGCCCTCTCGCTGTCGCAGCCAGTGGTCAGCCCGCATGAGGCTCAGTTCAGGGGTATCATAGTAGATGTCTCGGAAAGTGATCCGGTGTTCCAGGATGCCTCCCAACTCCTGCAGCCGTTCTTCCGTGTCAGGCCCCGGAACAAACTTTCGCTCCACCTCAATCATGCCCTGGGCCATGCTACCTGCAATTGCTGAGCTCTCAAGGGTGTCAACCTCGCGCAGGCCCCTGAAAGAACTTAGGAGTCACGGACACTGTCCATGAGTTCTCGGGGTGGGTTTGCAACCCCGTCTCTCTGCCTCTGCCCTGTCTCTGATGTACTACGGCTCTGCAGCAGAGACAGGACTCCAGTTAAATGCTACCACTGGTGTTCTCAATCCAGGACAGCCATGAACAGGGTGTTTCTTAAGCCAAGCCCCTCTACAGCTTGCTAGCCTGGGACGACCCCACCCGACCCCGCCCCGCCAGGCCACGCACCGGCCAGCGGAGCCGCGGGTCTCACCTCCAAGCCCGGGGATCTCTCGCGGGACCTGGCGATGGGGGAAGGGGGCTCACGCCACGCCCGCGAGGAATGCCGGGAGCAGTTCTCGGGTCCGGCCTCGACCCGACTCTGCGTAGCGGCCGGCCCCAACACCAGCGGCCATGTTAGGCCCGATGTGGCGCTGCCGAGGGCAGACTGGGAATGAAAGGCCTGGCTAGGTTATAGAGGCCAGGAGGGAAGCCATCACGCGGCGCTCTGCTTCTCGCCCCCAACCCTTCGCGCTTTCCGGAGGTCGGCCCGGGTCTCAGGCCTCAGGCTGAGCCCGGCACCCTGGGGCCTGGTGCATGATGGGAGATGTAGTTCCTAAGGGAGACTTTCCTTTCTCGCCCATCCGTCGCTATGGTGACAGGAAAGCCGCGATTCGTGCCAGAGGGACTCTACCTTAAAGTTGAGCTGAGGCAGTGGAGAGATCTGGGCGGAGCAAATGAAACCCCGTCCCTACTCCAGCACCCTCACTGCGTAGGCAGATGGACCTGGAATACACTTAAACACTGTCCAGGAAGCTTTTTATTGACTATGGAGGCCTACTAAATGCAGCCCCGTGGCAGTAGGCTGAGAAAAAGGATAACAGACTACTTTACTGTGAGTTTCAGAGGGGTTAATACTTACCTTGGCATGGATATTCAGGGAAAGGGTAGGTGGGAAATAGTCTGTGGGAGAAGGAAGTAATATTCCGGATGGGAGCTAAAGGAGATTTCAACATTTGGAGACCTGGATAGGAACAGAAACAGTGAGCAAAGACCCAGAAGCTGAAGACCACTTGGTCATTCTGCAATGAGGAAAGGCTAGAAATACAGTTGAAGAGCCAGTTGGAAAAGACCTACCTTCAGTGCCTGACCAAGGAAGGAGGTGGTTACTGAATTTCCCATGACCCCTGAGTAGGCTTTATCAGATCTCTGAAACAGTCACTGAGGGTATGTCCAAATAAATCCATATTGAGTTGAAATTATCACAGGACACCTAGGTAAACTGCTCACTACCCAATGCCCAGCAATACGAGAGTATCCCACTGCAGTTTCTACTAAATATGTATTGTTTTCACACCCATAAAGTCGAACAACCTTGGGTTGAACCACCTAAGGTGAGAACCAAACCCCTGTGAAGGATGATGAAGGGGTGGTCCTTTGACTACAGTGGGAGATAAAATAGAGAAAGATCCTTGTCTTTATCCCAGCTGAAGACTATGGTTATCTGGAGGCAGCAAACTGTATCCAGTCTTCCCTGTGATGTATCTTACTGAGGAGCAGTGAGTTGCCAACTCCTGGACTCCCTCCAATGGTGGGTAGCAGTGCCAGGTTCTTTCCTAACTCCTGTCCTCTCCCCAGTATGTTTCTGGAAACCTATCCCATGGCAAGTACTGTGGGGAGAACACGGGCTTACATACGTGACATATTTTTTTTCCCTAAAGATACATTTTTATTTATTTATGCATACAAGAACTGGGGTGTAGGCCAGAAGTGGGGGTGGGAAGAGGGATTGAGAGGATTCACCAGAGACAGAGTGGGGAACAGAACAGGCAGGTCTACTGAAATACACTGCTGGGGGGAGCAGTGGGAGAGACAGGAGAGAACTGCAGTGTCGTGTATTAGCTCCCTGGCTGGAGATCGAACTTACGTTGCAGTGGCAATAGGTGTGATAGCGCTGAGACTTAACTCCTGCACCACTAGGTAGGCTCTGCACATGGCATCATGAACTTGGATGCATTTCTGTCCTCACCCCATGACAAATTCCAATGAGCTGGCAGGGATGGGACCCCCGCCCTTAACTCCTCTCGCTGGCACTGGCTGGCCTTTGCTTTTCAGTTTTGTTCCCCAGGGATAGATGATGTAATCGCTTCCTTGAGTTATTAGGTCCAGTTCTGTGGGGTGGAGGCAGCGGCATAATGGAAAGAACAGACTCCAGAGCCAGATGGACCTAGGGTTGACTCCCAGCTTCACTTTCAATGTGTTTGGCCTTAGGAAGCTACTTCACCTCCCTTAAACCGGTCTTCTTATTGGTAAAAAGTAGATTGCTTCAGTTATGTGCAATGATTCAACAACATAATACACACTCAAAATGTTAAAGTGGTAGTTTCTACTTTTCTTCCTGGGTTTTCTTTTTTTCTTTTTTGAGAAGCAGACTATAGCAGCTTGTGCAGACCCTGGAATCAGATCATCTAAATTTGAATTCTGGTGTTGCCATTAATTGGCCGTGTGACCTTGGGCCAGTTATTTAACTTGTTAGTGCCCTGGTTTCCTAAACTGCTGTGAGGATTAAAATATATATATATCTTAGAACTGTCCCTTAGTATCCAGTAAATCTTAGCAATTTAAAAAAAGATTTATTTACCTATGCATACAAGAGCTGGGATGTAGTCCACAGGTGAGGGTTATGTAGGGGGGAGAGTGAGGTGACAGGTTTCAATGAGACACAATGGGGAGAACAGGCAGATAGACTGAAATACACTGCTGAGGGGAGCAGCAGGTGGGACCGGAGGTCTGCTGTGCCATGTGGGTCAGCTCCGTGGCAGAAGATGGAAGTCATGCCGGCACTGACTGCACTATGACTAGCTTCATAGTGTTGTTCCACTAGGGAGGCCCGGCAATTGTTTCAGAATATAGGAAAGCGTGTGACCTAATCACTGAAGATGAGGACAAGGATCAAGAACTTTCTCCTCCCCCCACCCAACTCTGGGGACTATGTGACCCTATGCAGGAGACACAGCTCTCAGAGACTTCAGAGTAATTGCCGTGGAGAAGAAGATCCTTGCACCCAATTAGAAAAGAGAACTCATAGGGCAGGAATGAGGGAGTAAAAAAGAGAGCTAAGCCTCGGGCAGCTCTGGGAAGCTGGTAGAAGCCAGGGCATGCTCTAGCGCTGATTTAAAACAAAAACAAAACACATGTAAGGTTTCTGTAGGCAGGAAGAAAAGACCGGAAAGAGTTTAAAGAAGACTGCTCTCTTTGCTGACACCAGGTTGGACCTGGAGCCACAGTGGAGTAGATGGCTGGTTCCCTGGCCAGTCAGCCCGCGGGTCTGTTTCTGCTCGTGGTCCAGAAAAGACGCCTGGCTGACCCGGCGCCCTCCCGCGGGGGCAGGAGCGGGAGTGGACGGACTACAACTCCCAGCATACACCGCGGCGGGCGGGCCGCTGCACCTGCTCAGTGGGGCCGCCCCGGGCGCCTGGGTATTGATTATTCCATTGTGTGGGACGCCTCGGCTCCAGCCAGTGAATGAGGCGGAGGAGTGAGGGCGAGGAGGAGGAGGAGGAGGAGGAGGAGGAGGAGGAGGAGGATTAGGAGGAGGAGGAAGAGGAGGAGGAGGAGGACCTCCCCGGGCAGGGCAAGCTAAAACCCCCTCATGAAGCCGGGAAAACACTTCAGCCGCAGCCAAATAGCATTGATTATTTTCCTTCACTTCCCTCACCGCCGTGAATTTATTTATT